CACACACACACACACACACACACACACACACACACACACACACACACACAGAGCCACTAGCAGGCAGCAGCTGTGGTGGTCCTGGATAGAAGGGCAGAATGTGTTCTCTACACACACACACACACACACACACACACACACACACACACACACACAGAGCCACTAGCAGGCAGCAGCTGTGGTGGTTCTGGATAGAAGGGCAGAATGTGTTCTCTACACACACACACACACACACACACACACACACAGCCACTAGCAGGCAGCAGCTGTGGTGGTCCTGGATAGAAGGGCAGAATGTGTTCTCTGGGGCTCCCAGAAGTAGGATCCAGCCATGGAGAGTTGTACCCCCAGGGGTTGGGGGTAGACCTAAGTGTTCCGGACTCCATGCCTAGCCTCCACAGGGCCCTCGCCCCTGCAGGCTCATGGGACCCTCAGGACTGTGGCATTAGTGAGTGCCCTGCTGTGACCCATGGCTCCAAGTGACGGGGGAGCAGGACAGGCTCATATCCCCACTCAGGGCATCTGGAAGGGCCACGCAAGAGACCAGCAGTGAGGGACACTGCGGGAAGCAGGGCAGGGGTCACCTTGTGGGCCTTGCAGCCGCCTCTCCCAGGGTCTGTGGCTCTGCACACTTGAGACGGGGCCAGTGCCCCTGGGGAGGTGGAGAAATGGGTGAGGCACTTGGCGGCTGCCCTGTGGCCCGTGTGTCCTGACCCACCTCCACTCTGCAGCGGGCCCCAGCCCTGCGGCTGGTCACTCTCAACCTGCCCACGGCCCGGCTTCTGAATTTCTGTACTTTGGACGAAAGATGGTTTTGTTTCTGCTTCTCTCTCTCCCTGCCCCCACTACTGATAGCAACTCACCAGCCCTCCTTGTTTTCTCATTTTCTTCAGAACTTAGCAGTGGGTCCTGCGAGACCCGCGTCCTGGATGTTGGGCTGTTTGATATGTCAATCTTCCAGTGTGGGTGACAGCCACACAGCTCCCAGCTCTTTGGCTTGGTGTCTGGGCCTGGAGTGACAGGGGCAAGCCAGAAGCCGAGGCGCGTAGATGAGGGCTGGCCTGGAACGCAGTGGTCGTAAATCTCTTGCTTGTCACTTGGAAGTGACAGCTGCACAGTTGAGCCTCTGGCCAGGCAATCACGCGACCCCAGGCAGTTCTTAAAGCTGTGACAGGACTCATCACAGGCCTCATGAGCGGATGGGAAGGCATCCCCATGGGGACTCGTGGCCAGAGTGAGGACACAGAGCGGCTGCCCAGCCCCTGGTCCAGCAGGAGGCCATGCAGTTCCCTGGGGCATGGCCACTGTCTCTGAGCCTCAGCAGGCTGTGGGGACCCTGGTGAGGGCCTGAGTGGTGATGTGGAGGAAGTGGCCTCCCTGGGCCTGTCCCTCCCCAGAAGCAGGTGCGGCATGTAGCTGGCCAGTGGAGGAGGGTGAGTGAGCCCCAGGCTGGCCTTTCTGCTTCCACCTGGCTCTGGCTTGCCTTGCATGATTTGGCCAAGTTACCTCAGGCTTTGAAAATGTTGTGCTCTGGATTTTATTGCCACAATTGCAGAATCTAATCTAAACCTGATAATTGGTGTCACAACACCTGGAGGAAATGAGGGCCTTAAAGACACACTCAGCTTTTGGTGTCTATGTGAGCCTTTGAAGGCCATATAGAGTCTGGTAGGGCCATGTCCTTCTGTCCGGACCTGCTATGTGTTCCTCAGCTGCTTGCCTATCTGTGTGGCTTCCTGGCCTGAGCTCGGTCTTGGTAAGGAAGTGAGTCTGCTCCCCCAAATTGAGAAAGCCATGCTTACCCCAAAGGCTGCAGGTCTACCTCTGTCTCAGCCAGGTGTGGTTCTCGGGGTGATTCTCTGCGGGCCCAGATAGTTGGTGTCATTCCTCTGTACAAGTCCAGGGCCACCAGCGCAGCAGAGCTAAAGGGAGTTGGGGCCCAGCCAGAGTGGATGAGATCCACAGTGGGGGTTGGGGCTGGCTTGAGGTGGTGTGGGGGTGCCAGGGCAGGGGGGATAACACACAGCTCCATGCAGCCCTCTAGGCCGGGCGGCCCGGCAAATGGCCTACTTAGGTGGATGTGGTGAGGGCAGGGGTCAGGCTCCACACAGGGCATGCAGGCTCTGTAAGCTTACACATGGGCTGCACTGTGCAATGCAGATGGTCCTGACCCGCCAAACCACACCATACCTTAAATCAGGCTGGCAACTTTCTCTAGGCATACTTTGTTTTCCCAGTTCTGGGGGTGAGCCAGAGCCTTCTGCATGCTGAGCCACATCCTTGATCCCCAAACTTCTGTAGAGCCTGGTACTGGGGTATTCACGCCTCACAGACTATGCGTCTGTGCCCACAGCTGCATCTGCACGTTGCATCCCAAGTGCAGCTGAGGACTAGAGTGGAGGGAATGGCAGGGCCGTGTGCCAGAGACCATGGTGCATGCCTGTGAGCCCAGGACAGGGGGGGAAGTGGAGGTGGGGGGATGGTGAGCTCTGGGCTGGCCTGGCCTTCGTAACGAGCTCCTAAAGGACACATGGGGGTGACACCTCACTGTTCAGTAAAGGGCAAGGGTGCCCAACAGTTTGGGGCTGCCCAGTCCCACAGCCAAAGAGCTGTGGCTGGAGTGGCAGCGGGTCTCCACGTCCTTTTGTAAAAGAGTTTTGGTCATAATCAGATCTTCAGTGTGTTGGTGGCCATGCTTTCTGGATTTCCCTAGAAATCCAAGAGGTGCCGGCAGCAGCCAGACACAAAGCAGCTTGTTTGGGACAATGAGCCTGGGTGCTGACACCAGAGGGTGGTCATCCCCACACTGAGAGCCAGCAGAAGACAGCCACGCAGGGACAGCGCCAGCGGGGCAGGAGCCAGACATGAAACAGACATGAAACTCCTTCACCCCTGCTCCTTCATCTGGGCCCCATTTTGGAGTGGGAGGGCCGTCCTTGTTCCTTCAGGCTCTAGGATGCAGAGGACAGTCCAGTCCAGCCTCTCTGGGGCTGGGTTCTCTGAGGTGTTATGTGTGGCACACAGGTTCTGGGTACGCTTACCCCTCCTTCCTACCCTGCACCCCTGCAGAGCCATCTCATTTCTGTTGTGCATACTGGTGCGCCACTTATCTGGGGACAGGCAGAGCCGTCAACCTCAGTTGCTCCAGCAGCATCTGACCAAATGTGCCTCCCAGAGGGAAGGGGGCCTCGTGGGGGACACAGCGGAGAGGGGCTCCATAGTGAACACAAACTGCACCATTCACCTGTGGGGGGCGGGGGAGGAGTTCTGCCATTGGCTTCGGGGTGCCAGATGGAGACCATCCTGAGACTTCTGATGAGTCCCGACTCCCCCTGCCCCGGCACCTCCCCAGGGCCTCAGAGCACTTCCTCATGGAGTCCTCACGCAGGCCACGCAGGCCACACAGCTGCTGCCCCTGCCCCCCTGAGTCAAGAGGCCACAGTGGCAGTGGTCGGCCAGCTCCCCTACACGACAGTGCTGATTCAGGAGACCTGCTGCCCCGCTGCCGGGAGCAGGGCCCCCCATGGATGTCTGCGGGACTGCGCCCAGCGGCCCCCTTCTTGTCAGTGCTGCAGGGCCTGCCACCATGGGCAGGCCTGTGCCAGGCTCCAACCTGGCCCAGGGCGCCAGCCTCCGGCAGGGCACATCAAGAGCCTGGCCAGTAATGTCCAGGCTGGGTTCCAGGCCGTGTTCCGGGCCATGGGATGTGCTCCACCAAGCACATCTGCCCCCCAAGGGTACGCCCAGGTGCTTTTCCTAATTACTTAAGAAAAAGCAATTGTGGAGCTGCGCCCCACAAATCCCTTAAGCCGTGGGGAAAGGAGGGCTTGTGGCCAGCCTGGAGCCTGAAACACAGGCGCCATCTGTGCCCCCACCACTCGGTGGCCAAATTGCACCGCTGGCCTTGCTCTCCTGCCCAGTTGCCAGGAACGGAATTGAGTTTGCTAGAAATCACTGGCCCATAAATATTCCTTGCTCTCGCCGTCCCCACACCGGGTCCTGCAGAAGGTGGTGCTGGAGCGGGTGGGGCTGCAGGAACACTCCACAGACACCCCCAGTCTGCATGTCCGACGTGGGGCCTTCCAGAGCAAGAGGAGGACATGGAGAAAGGGCTGTTTGCCTCAGTCTGTCCCATCCCCCTTCCCTGCCCCAGCTACTGGCCGTGGAAGAGCTTCACCGCCACACTTAGGAAACGGGCTGTTGTTTGATGGGAGGCAGGGGGGTGCACAGGGGGTTTCTAGGGCTGGGGTGCAAGCCTGGCGGTGGGGAAAAGTTTTGTTGGCACTCAACCTCACCTATTCTCTTACACATTTTCTGTGATGCCCTTGAGTTTTGGTGGCTGAGAGTTGGGATGGAGACTGTGGCCTACAAAGCCCGACACTGACCTTCATCCCCACTGCCAGCACCTGCCCCAGCATCCCCTCCTGTTGCCTCTCAGAGTAGTTTGGCTATCCACTCCCTTGTCAGCTGGCCATGAAAGAGCGAGACTGGCCAAGTCGCAGTGTACTCAAGGCCCTGGGCCAGGCCTGCCCCTCCCAAGAAGGAAAATGGCTGCTCTGCCACCTGGGAGCCCTCCCCACCCCACCCCCCCCAAAATGAGTGTGGCCAGGTCTCCTGTGGCGCCTCCGCCGTAGCTTCTTCCTCTGCCCTCTGGGGACTGCTGACTCTGTCCTCTTGCTGACCCTCCCAGCACGTGTGAAGCAGCCCAGCATGCACCCAGCCCAGATGCACCTGGGCATCTCCACTTAGCAGGCAGCCGCTGAGTCTCCGGCCTAGTGGCCCACAGGTGCTCCAGGCGCGGCTGGGACAAACATGGCAAAGCTGCCCCCTGGGTCCGCCTGGAGCATTTGCTGGGTGCGGCCAACAGGCCACGCAGAGGGAGGTCGCTGTTTGCCTGATCCTGTCTTAGGGCGAGAGGGGACAGGGTCCTCCACCCACTGCTGGGGCCCGTTGAGACTGCTGCCGGAGGTGCTGAGCTCAGGGCCTGTTCCCTTCTGCAGTGCACGTGCCGGAAGGACATGGTGAAGATCTCCATGGATGTCTTCGTGCGCATCCTGCAGCCTGAGCGCTACGAGCAGTGGAAACAGGGCAAGGATCTCACTGTCCTGGACCACACCAGGCCCACGGCCCTGAGCAGCCCGGAACTCAGCTCCTGGAGCGCCTCGCGCGCCTCGCTGAAGGCCAAGCTCCTGCGCAGGTCAGTGGCACAGCACGGCCTTCTACCGCGGTCTCTCCTCACCCCTGTTCATGTTCCCCCACCCCTCCTCCGCGTCTCCCTCCATTCCTTCCCTTCTGAGCCAAAGCACATCCTCATGGTTGCTGACCCCTTCGGATACCTGCCACCCGGCAGGGTCCCCAAGGCTGACCGCTCTGGTGTGGGCATGGTCACCCACCCATGGGTGCCTGTGGGTGACCCTGTGTGTGACGCTGGCGGGGATCTCCTGCGGCTCCACACACCACAGAACACACTTGCGTTTCCTTTGCCACCCAGCTGGAATGAGAGCTGTACCAGACGGGTTGCCCACTTGGCTTGGGACCTGGGCCCCTCTGTGAGCCTTGGTCACTTGAGTAAACATTTTTTACTGCCCGTCCTTTGGCAAGTCAGGGGTGAGTAGGGATGCAGAGCCTCATCGCCTGCTTCCTGCACCCTGTAGTTCTGGAATGCTCTTCCCTGTGTCTCTGCTCAGCTCACAGGTGGGCTCTTTCATGGTTCCCTTTGTTCCCTGGCCTTTGATTTTCTGCTCCGTGTGTCCCCGTGAAAAGCAGCCTAGTGGGTGGTGGCTGCTCCCAGCGGGGACTCTGCCTGGACATGTGATTTGCATAACAGTTCATTGATTGTGGCTTGGGCTAATTGGTCAACAAGGCAGTGTGCCAATAACAGGCACTGTGGTGCCGGGATGCTGGGATTCGAGGCTGTCTAAAGAGCGGCTGGCGCTCACCTTGTCCAGAACCTTCCTCACAGGAACAGCGGAAGGGCCCGCCACCCCCAGCCCAGCCGGTAGTCACGAACCTGTTCCTTTCTGGAGCACCTCGCCCTCGCTCTGCCATCCCGGGGAGCTGGAATAATGAGCAGTGGGGCTGAATAACAAATTAAGTCATGTTCCCAAGGATGTAATTTCCTTTAAAGCCTTCGGTATGTAAAACAAGGCTGATTTCCTTTTTTCCTTCTAAGTCGTGGGGGGCTCTTCTGCGGAAGGGCTGTGACTCACATTAAAAGTCTCCATCTGAGGGAGGGTATTTGTCTCTTCTCGGGCAGCCTGTGACCATCCACATGGCCGTCCCCAGCCCCCAGCTGTGCCTGCCTGGAGGCTGGGCCCAGGAGCTTCCCCAGAGGGTGTGTGTGGGCTGCCACAGCTCAGTCCAAGCATCTGTACAGCTCAGTCCAAGCATCCGTGCCTCAGGGGGTGGCACAGTGGGTCTGGCTCTGCCCCCCGCCCCCGCCCCATATCCAGAGGCCTATCAGCATATCCTGAGCCCTGCAAGGTGCGGAGCACCCTATGCTAATGGTACCCGCAGTCACGACAGCCACACATGTCCCCAGATGTAGCCAGAGTCCCTTGGCGGGAAGCCAGTGCCCTAGAGCAAGAACGGTAGGGGGACGCTGTGTGCCACTGCTGTCCCAGGTGTCTGCACAGCCAGACCACCTGAGCCTACAGAGGCCATCGCCCCCAAGTCTCCACAGCTTCCCCTTCCCATCTCGCCGCCTCTGGCTCCCACTGGGGCTTTGCAGGCCCCCGCCACACGCTCCAGCAAAGCAGATGGGCAAGCCTGCACCACCCTCCCTTCTGCGGCCTGGTGGCTGGCTTCCCCAGCCCTCACCAGCTACCCACATGGGAGTCTTCTCTCCTGCCACCAGCCAAATGTGGACAGAGTGTCCCCCAAAACCGCTCTCACCCAGCAGCACTGGCACCCAGGGGACACTCATGGAGAGAGCAGCAGGCCAGCCTCATTCCTTCCTCCTCCCACCGGGCTGGCACCCACCATGGCTCGACACTGCCCACCAGCTTGTCCACGCTGTCAGAGACAGGGCCCATGACCACGGAGGAACCTGGAGCCAGGGACTCAACAGACAGCTACTGAATTCTTCTCCCCAATAGCAGGTGTAACTCCTCACGTTAGGGTTTTTTTCTCCCCCCCCCCCCCCCGCCTTTTGGTGGTACTGAAGTTGAATTTGGAGCCTTGCTCTTGCTGTAGGCAGGTTCTTTTTCACTTGAGCCATGCCTTCAGTCCTTTTTTGAGCTGATTAGTTTTGAGATAGTTTTGCTTCCTACCCTGGGCATGCACTTGGACCCTGAGCTGTCTTAATTTCGGCTTCTTGGTCATGTCCACAATGATAGGCACATGCCACCATATCCAACTTCTTTTTATTGAGATATGGGGTCTTAACAAGTCTTTCTGCTGGCCCAGAACTGTGATTCCTCCAATCTCAGCTTCTCACAAAACGTAGGATGACTGGTGTGTACCACCCTGCCTTCTGTTGGTTCAGAAGGGAACTCCTGCCCCCCCCCCCTTTTTTTTCCCCAAGCTGGCCTTGAACTGTAATCCTCTGGATCTTGACCTCCCAAGTAGCTAGGGTAGCTAGTGAGAGCCACTGTGCCTGCCCACCTTAGTTGATGGGGCTCTTTAAGCTCACAGGTTCTTGCTTGAGAAACAGAGCAAGGAGGGCAGAAAGGAAGGGGGGCTAGGGGAGAGGAGGCCAGAGCCTGAGAACTGTGGCCAGGAACTCTCACCACACCAGTCCTCCCGAGATGGGAGATCCCCACACTGGAAGAGCTAGCTCAAAGCCTTCCTTGTGGCTACTGGGCTGTGCCTGTTAGCAGCAGTGCTGCCAGCTGCCCCTCCACCGCCAGCCACTGGGGACCCCGGGACAGTCGCTTTTTGAATGAGTTTCTGCTGCTGCTTTGCACAGTTCATCCTGGCAGGCAGCACGCACTGCCATCTTACTCCCCATGAAAGACCCAGAACTGCTGGAGGGGACCAGGAGCAGCTGCACAGCTCAGCCAGGTGGCCCTGGTGAGGAGACGGAAAAGTCTGCAAAGCGAGGGGGCCTTGCTAACAGCCCCCACATCCAGATCCTGCGTCTGGGTCCCTGGAAATGGAAGGCCTTCTGTTAGCAGGCCCCTCACACAGCCACTACCACAGCCTCAGTTCCATGCAGAGCGCTGTCACCTGGATTGGGAAATGTCGAGGCAGTGGTGGAAAGTGGGGCTCTGAGGTGAAGCCACCCTAGGTGAGAGATGATGTGTGGGGCGCAGCCTCTTGGGCCAGGCTGGCTTCCTGCAGAGAGGGCCCGTCTGCGACCAGAGGAAGCCCTGAGGCCTGTAGAGTTGGCATGGAGTCTCACCAGGAGGCCTCCAAAGGCCCACGGTGAGCCAGCAGGTCCCATAAGGAATGACGGGCCTGTTGCTAGAAGACTTCACACACCCCAAAATGGATGTCATCCACACTGCCTGCAAGCTGTAGAGTCCCGGCTTCACCTCCTTTCGCAGAATGCTACAGAAGGATGGGCTCCAGCCTTGAAAGCCACAGTATGGAGAAGGTGAATCTAACCCAGGAGAGATGAAGGTCTACAATCCCACCCCAGTGACCTGGGGTCAGGGAGCAGTGACAGAGGCCACCAGAGCCATCATGGAAAGCAATGTCACCCTGCATAGTGGACTGCAGCGGAAGGAGTTGCTTGCAGACACCAAGTGAACTAAGCAACTGGAGAGGCTGGCATCCACCCACGGGGCCCAGCAAGGGGTGTGGCCAGACCCCGCCAGTGGGGCCTCACGGTCAGAAGAGTGCTGGACACGTCTGTGCAACATCCTGAAGAGAAATCAGAATCAAACCGGGACCGGTGGCTCACGCCTGTCATCCTAGCTACTCAGGAGGCTGACATCTGAGGATCACAGTTCAAAGCCAGCCCAGGCAGGAAAGTCCCATGAGAATCTTTGATCGAATTGATCACCAGAAAACCGGAAGTGGCGCTGTGGCTCTAGTGGTAAAGCACTCACCTTGAGCTGAAGAGCTCAGGGACTGCACCAAGGCCCAGAGTTCAAGCCCCACAACTGACAGAGAAGTCATGACCAAACAAGATGACAAGGAGATAAGGAGATCCAGAGACCAGAGAAGGCAGAGATGTAGGCCCTGCACCTAGGAGGAGCCTCTGCAGGGGATGGCAGTAGGGACCTGGGAGCCCCCCAAGTCTGTGGGCCTGTGGGGAATGAGATTGTTTCCTGAGCCTGTTTTCCTGCCATTCCTTGACCTGCCAGCGTGCAGGGCCCCAGACCCTGAGCACCGTGGGTAGCAGCTGGGCAGACTGGCACTCTGAGGTGCCAGTGAGGCTGGGGAGGAGGGGGGGCTGGTCCACTGAAGGAGGGCTGGGGTGAGCACAAGTGGACTGCAGGGCTGGCTGCGTGGTGGGGATGGGCGGGACCGGCAAGCCAGGGCAGTTCCGGAAACAGAGGCCAGGGGAGTTGGCCAGCTGGGCATGCGCCGCTGGGAGCCTGGCCTGCAGCTCCTGGCCTAGCAGGGTGCCCTGGTAGCATGAGAATTGGGAACCCCAAAGCTTTGGGGCCTCTCCTCCACACTGAGGAGAGCCAGAGCTGCCTGCCCGAGGCAGAGGCTGCGCTGGGCTGGAGAAGGGCTCCAGGCGGGCCCCGTGTCCCCTCACCTCCTCCTTCCCCTGTCAGTGCCTCACCTGCGTGCACCCCGCCCCATGTGTGCACCCTGCCATGCTCTGCCTGCGCACCCCTCCCCGAATGCCACACCTGCTTGCTGCTGTGGGCATGGGTCATCTCGTGGGCTCATGCTGCAGATGTCCAGGGCCCTGCCTGGGGGAGGCGTAGCCTTGGGGGGAACAGTCAGGAAGAAGGGCCCGGCTAAGCCAAACCAGAAGGGGTGCTGCTGCTCACAGTTCTGTTTGGGGGATCGTTGCTGGGGAGGAGACAGGCCAGAGAGAACAGGCCATAAGAACTCACCCATAGGTGACTTAGCAGCAGTCAGGAAGCCACACCCCCTTGTCAATAGCAGCAGCCAGGAAGCCACACCCCCTTGTCAATCAGGACCGCACCCAGCTGCAGGTCTCCCACTTTGCGGTCCTTCCTTCTTAGCTGTGGTGGGGCTGAGACCCAGAGCCCCAGCTTACTTGGCAAGTGCTCCGCCACTTTAGCCATCCCCCAGCACTTTTGATTTTGTTTTTCAGTTGTGGGGCTTGAACTCAGGGCCTGGGCACTATCCTTGAGCTCTTTTGCTCAAGGCTAGCACTCTACCACTTTGAGCCACAGCTCCACTTTCAGTTTTTGAGTGGTTAATTGAAAATAAGAGTCTTACAGAGACTTTTCGGTCCGGGATGGCTTTGAACTGTAATCCTCAGATCACAGTCTCCTGAGTAGCTAGGATTACAGTTGTGAGCCACCAGCTCCTGGGTGTGTGTGTGTGTGTGTGTGAGTTCTGGAGCTTGAACTCAGGGCCTGGGTGCTGTCCTTGAGCTTTTTTGCTCAAGGCTAGTCCTCTACTACTTCAGTCATAGCTTCACTTTTGGCTTTTTGGTGCCTGGGCTGGCTTTGAACCACAGTTCTCAGAGCTCAGCTTCCTGAGTAACTAGGATTACAGGCGTGAGCTGCTGGTGCCTCGCTTTTGATTTCATATTTGAGACAGGGTCTTGATATCTTTGTTCAGTCTGGCCTCAACTTGAGATGTGCCTGCCTCAGTTTCCCAAGTAGCTGGGATTATAGGCTTTGCTACAATACCCAGATTCTTCCTTTTAGCCCCTCTTCTCCACTCCTTTCCCACTGTTTCTTAGAAGTTCTAAGGATTGGGCTGAGGGCCTCAGCCTTGCTAGGCAAATGTTCTACCACGTGAATCCTAGCCTGTTTTTGTGTTGGTTGTTGTTGAGTTGGCTCTCGCTTTATACCTGGGCTGGCCTGGTCTGCAATCCTCCTACTGTGCTTCCCCATAGCAGGGATGGCAGGTGTACACCATTGCATTCGGCTGTTGGTTGAGATGAATGTTAAGAACTTCTTTTGCTCAAGCTGGCCTCTAACCCCAGTCACCCCATTCGTCCTCCATCTCCACCTTCCAAGCAGCTAGAGTTACAGGCTTGAGCCACTGCATCCGGTCTTCCTCCCGCACTGTTATTAAGAGGTAGCTGACGCGGGCGTTGGTGGCTCCCTCCTGTAATCCTAGCTATTTGGGAGGCTGAGATCTGAGGATCATGGTTCAAAGCCAGCCTGGGCAGGAAAGTCCGTGAGACTCTTATGACTCCAGTTAACTGACAGAAAACTGGAAGTGGTGCTGTGGCTCTAGTGGTAGAGCACTTGCCTTGAGCTGAAGAGCGCAGGGACAGCGCCCAGGCCCAGAGTTCAAGCCCCACAACTGACCAAAAAACAAGAAAGAAAAGAAAAAGAAGTAGCTTGAGTGAGCCTGCAGTCCTCAGGCCACGCACTTCACTTAGGGTGCTCTTAGGGGCATCCCCTGTAGCCCCCTAGGATAGCAGCACATCCCTGTGCCCTGTGAGCACATGTGGCCCGGGCCGGGGCAGTGCTGTGGAAGGCCCCGCGCTGGGAGCCCATTGAGGGAGGCAGGATGGGCCGGAGGCCTGAGCTCAGGTCCCAAGCAGAGAGGCCTGGAGTGTCCTAAAGGCCTGGGCAGAGGTATCAGACAAAAACCCCTGAAAATTTACATTCTAGACAAATTAGTCTGAAAGAAAACAGACACTGGAGAAAGACTGAGGAGGAGAGGAAACCCAGTCTAGAGAGGAGGAGAGAGCAGACCAAAAAGCCCGGGCTGGCGTAAGTGTGTCTCCCTCACCCTCCACCCAGCATCGCACGCGAGCCGCTGTCCATCAACTCCCTGTGTGTCCCGCCCCTCACGGGCTCCAGGAGCCCCTGGGGTCCACCTTCCTTCCCATCCAGTGTCAGTCGGCACCCATCTCCAGTTGCCATCACCACCCGCTTGACACCGCACCACCCCGTCCTCTCCTCAGCCCCGGCCTCAGTGGGGTGCCCAGGTCCACACCCAGAGCGCCCCTGCCACCCTCTGCCTGACGCTTCTCCTCTCCCAGGTCCCACCGGAAGCGCAGCCAGCCCAGGAAAGCCAAGCCTGAGGACCCCAAGTCCCCAGGGGAGGGGCCGGCCGGTGCAGCCCTCCTGGAGGAGGCCACGCCTGAGAATGACCCAGAAGAGGAGGATGAGGAGCCGCCGCCAGCCCCACAGGGCCAGGCCCGGGAGGCCGAGGGCACAGAAGGTCAGTCCCGGCCGGGCCCCTTCCTGACCCCTGTGTGTCCTGAGATGGCCCTGCTAGTCCCCGAGCTCCTGATGGTGCGATGCCGAGAAGGTTGCAGGCAGAGGCACGGCACGGGCCACCCTCTGCCCTGGCCTTGCTGTGAGGGGCTCCTGATGTCACATGCCTGTCCAGAGACTCTCGGGGAGATGGGCAGAGGGACGGGTCCCCGTGCGGTGTGTGCTGGGACATGAGACCCGGGTCTCCCGGCCAGAGATGCGCGATGTGTAAGTGGTACACATGCCCGCGTGAAAAGCACAGTGGCCGACAGTGGGCTCCCAGGTAGAACTGCACATGGGGCCGCAGTGGCGATGAGCTCAATGCAGAAGCAGGATTGCAGTTCTCACCACCAGCCATTCAAAGAAAGCGTCGTCTTCACAAAAACAAGAAAATAGCCACATGCCAGACAGTGGTCAAGCCTGTGATCTTCGCTCCTCAGGAGGCTGAAAGCTGAGGACTGAAGTTCAAAGCCAGACTGGCAGGAAAGTCCTTGAGACTCTGAATCTCCTTTGTTGTTGCTGTTTTTGGTTGGAGACAGAAACGCCAACTTGGTATCTGATGCTTTTCCTCATGGGCTGGTGATGTTCTACCTGAGCCACACCTCCAGCCTTCTTATCTCTAGTGAACCACCAAAAAGCAGGAAGTGGAGCTGTGGCTCAAGTGGTAGAGCACCAGCTTTGAGCAGAAAAAGCTCAGGGAGGGCTGGGAAGGTGGCTCAGTGGTAGAGTGCTTGCCTTGCATGCATGAGGCCCTGGGTTTGATTCCTCAGCACCACATAAGCAAAAAGAAAAAAGCCGGAAGTGGCGCTGTGGCTCAAGTGGTAGAGCGCTAGCCTTGAGCTGAAGAGCTGAGGGACAGCGCCCAAGCCCAGAGTTCAGGCCCCACGACCGGACCCAAAAAAAAAAAAAAAAAAAGAGCTCAGGGACAGCGCCCAGGTCCTAAGTTCAAGCCCCAAGACTAGCGCACGCGCACACACACACACACACACACACACACACACACACACACACACACACACACACAAGACAAAATTAAGGTCTGGGAAGGTGGCTCAGTGGTAGAGAGCTTGCCTTGCATGCATGAGGCCCTGGGTTCGATTCCTCAGCACCACATAAGCAAAAAGAAAAAAGCCGGAAGTGGCGCTGTGGCTCAAGTGGTAGAGCACTAGCTTTAAGCTAAAGAGCTGAGGGACAGCACCCAGGCCCAGAGTTCAGGCCCCACAACTGGCAAAAAAAAAAGACAAAATTAACTCCAACAAGAACTTGATGCACCTTGTAATAAACATAGGGCAGAAAAGAGCAATGGAGAACCCGTGGCAGCTGGAGGGGGCAGCAGAGTCGGGGCCGGGGGCCTGGGCTCCCTGACCCGCAGGTTGTCCCCTGCCCACCACCTGCTGCCCTTGCCGTTGGGCACAGCAGGGTGTGGTGCAGGTGCTGGTCCTGATGAGCCTGCTGAGGGCCACTCCTCAACACCAAGCTAGCTGGGCCAGCGGGGTCCAGACACAGCCCCAGAGCAGGAGCACCCACACATCAGCATGCTCCCTCCCTCCCCATGGCCTGTGAGTCCCCGTCTTAAAGCCACACACATCTACTCCAACTCCAGGAGACCACACAGCTCACCGCGGTGTCTGCCCGGCCACTTCTGGAGGCCCAATCTCTTCCTCTTCTTCAGAGCAGTGTGGGGTCTCCATCTGCCTCTGGCCTCTGGCCTCCTCTTAGGAGAACCCTGTGGTGCCCAGGGCCACACGACAGGGTCCTGCCACCTCCCTTCTGCCTGCCACCTGCTTAAAAGTCTGTGCTAAGACAGACCTGGAAAATCTGTCAACGTGAGATTGGAGTATTTCTTTTTTTTGCCAGTCCTGGGGCTTGTACAGACCTCAGGGGCCTGGGCGCTGTCCCTGAACTTCTTTTACTCAAGGCTAGCACTCTACCACTTGAGCCACAGCACCAGGTCTGGCTTTTTCTATGTATGTACTGAGGAATTGAACCCAGGGCTTCCTACATGCTAGGCAAGCACTACTACTGAGCCATATTCTCAGCCTGGAAGTACTTCTTTAGGCTAATTTTTTGTATTACGCATCAGAACGATGGGAAGTGATCACGCTAGCAGAAAGTCCTCCATGTATCCCAAAAGACCCACCAACATGCTGTGAGGAAGGCTGGTGATCACAGTGCACAGCCAGGCTGGAGCGGACGCCCAGTGCTCAGAGGGCAGAGGCGGCCCGCAGAGAGGGGCCACAGAGTGGGGCTTGGGCCCACCAGCCCAACATCCTTGACCTCCTCCACTGCCTGCCCTGCCCTGCCCATCCAGCCAGCAAAGGAGCAATGGCTCTCTTCCTTGAATTTATACTTGTGAGTGGGCCGACAGTGGAATGGCTACCACAGGAAACAGGCCAGGACATGGAGCTGTGCTGTTGTCAGCTAGGGCCCTCCCCTGGGGACCCAGCTGGCACCTTCTAGCTGTGTTGGGAGTGATTGCTGCCGCCGGCAAAGCAGGTGGGCTGTGCGGTTCCCCAGAGGCCTTCTGGGCTTCAGGATGGGCACAGGGACTGGCTGGCCGGGCTGTGGGGTGCGGTGCTGCCCCTCTGTGCCCCACACGTGAACGGTGCCCGGCTGGGTGCCTGCGCTGAGGTTGCCTCTGGGATCCGTGGTTGGGACATAGCCCTGGAGAGGCGGCGAGGCCAGGCCCCTGCGACGCGGGCTGTGGGATGGGCCACACTGGCGCAGCACGTGACCTCTTAGTGTGGGGCCACGGGACAGCCACACGGGGACATCCAGGCTCCGACGTGAGCCCAGGACGGCCCCCAAGCTGACCCTGGGCCTCGGACACTGCTCAGCGGCTGTGGGAGATGGGCGAAGGGGAGGCGCCCCCCCCCCCCCCAGCGGCAGCCAGGGGCTCGGGGGCTGCAGGATGTGGCTGTCACCGCCGCTCTGGCGACAGAACGTCAGTGTTGTGTAGGGCCAGGGTGTCAGTGGGCCCCTGAAATCAGGAGGGGTGCCTCGTGCCCTGCTGTGTCCCTCTCCAGCACGCCCCGTGGCCGCCAGCTTGGCTAGAGCAAGCGCCATCACCCCCGGCATGTGGCAGCTTGCCCATCCAGATGTGTGTATATTTTTCTTTCTTTCTTTTTTTTTTTTTTTTGGTCGGTCGTGGGGCTTGAGCTCTGGGCCTGGGCGCTGTCCCTCAACTCTTCAGCTCAAGGCCAGCGCTCTACCACTTGAGCCACAGCGCCACTTCCGGTTTTCTGGTGGTTTATTGGAGATAAGAGTCTCATGGACTTTCCTGCCCAAGCTAGCTTTGAACTGCGATCGTCAGATCTCAGCCTCCTGAGTAGCTAGGATGACAGGCGTGAGCCACCCGCGCCCGGCTAAGGCCTGGCTTCTCACAGGCCTCTGGTGTGCCCATGCCCAGGCCCCTGGGAGCCAGGGATGAGCACTCGCCCCCCACCACCAGGGTTTGGGGAGGCCTCTGGGGGGCCCGGGAGCCCTCATGGCCCGCCTGTGCCCCGTGGTCCCTGACTGGCCTCTTCTCTCCTGCAGAGGATGGGAGGGGCAAGCTGCGGCCCAGCAAGGCCAAGAGCGAGCGGAAAAAGAAGAGCTATGGCCCCCTCTCGTCCTCACTGCTGTCGCAGCTGCCGCCAGCCCTGCCAGCCCCGATGCCCACCGAGGAGGCCCTGCGGCTGCCACCCCCACCCGAGCCCTCAGCGCTGGCCCCGGGGCCCACGGCGGCTGAACAGGGCCCCTCCCCCGTGCCCCTCAATGTGGTGCCACCCGAGGTCCCTGGGGAGGAGCAGGACAAGCCTCGGCCCATCATCCCCATGCTTTATGTGGTGCCCCGGGCCAGCGTCACCCCGCCGGACAGAGACCTCGGGCCCAGCCCCCAGGCCGCCCCCATGGAGCTGACGGGGCCCGACGAGGAGACCAAAGCCCTGGCCAGTGAGGCGCAGGTGGGTGGCCACGCGCTCACGCAGCCCCTCCGCGGGGCTGGGGTGGCCCGGGGCGGGCGCCCGGCCTGACCGGCAGCGCACTGTTTCAGGTTCCCTCCACCTTTTCCAAGTTAAAGATGGAAATCAAGAAGAGCCGCCGCCACCCGCTGGGCAGGCCGCCCACCCGGTCCCCGCTGTCCGTGGTGAAGCAGGAGGCCTCGAGTGACGAGGGTAAGCGCAGTCCCCTCCCTCTCCCACCCCACGCATGGACACATGGACACGCACACACACACCCCTGCGCACGTGTGGCTGTGATCATTGGCCCAGCCCTGCCGTTCCTCTGAGCACAGCTGCTCCACACCCCGCTGCAACCCTCTCCACCAACCACCCGCGCCCTGGCCCTGCCCTTCTGGCCCATCTCCTGGCCCTGGGGCGGGGCACGCCACCAGCTGCCCCTTTCCTGCCCCTCAGCCACACACAGCCCATAACTCACCTCCTCCACCCGCCCCACCCAGTCCCGCTCCTCCACCCCCAAGGCCTGAAATGTCCCATGGCCAGTTGGGGGGGGGGTCGGCTCCCCCTGGGTCCAGACCCCACGCCCCTGGTGCTGCCACCGTGTGTGACTGTCCTCAGCTGTGCAGGGGCAGCCAGGAGCCAGGGCCTGGCTGTGAGGGGAGGCGGAGGCGCTCGGGTTGTGTTGCAGGGCCCCGCCTGTCTCGGCCAGGCAGCACTTCCAGCTGCCAGCAGACGCAGCCCCCGGGCGCCCCCACACCCTCAGCTCCTGCAGCCTGAGCTCTACGCCAGCCCGCCCCGCTGCCTCTCTCTGCCCTGGAGTGCCACTGTGTACACGAGGGCGCGAATCCAGTATGCCACCCAGCGCTGGGCATCAGTGGGCCCCACGTGCCAGGGTTGGGCTTCACCAGGTCTAGGGTCCCCGTGCCTGAGGGCTGCAGGGCCGTCACCTCGCGGTGGCGGCGGGGCTCCCAGGTGCTCTGCAGGGGACACGGCCTTCAGGGTCTACGTGCTTTGGTCCGAGCAGTCGGCAGTGCCATTCTTCAGATGTGCCGGGGCCGGGGTGGGGTGACAGGGATGCCTGCTAGAGGGCACCCCACTGCTGGTTATGGGGCGGAGGCAGAGGCGCGGGCCCAGCTGGGCGCAGGAGCCTCTGCGGCACCTCAGCCCGCCTCCAGACCAGCTTTTCATTCTGAGAAAAGAACGTCCTCCACTTTCAGCTGTGCAAAGCCGAGCCAGGTTTTTTGTTTTTGTTTTTGTTTTCATCTTCTGCACCTTTGAGAGTTGCCGGCTGGCCGCAGCGTCTCTCCTGACGCACATGAGGGCTGTAGGCTGTGTGAGTGGCAGGAATCTGTTGAATGGTGCCCAATAACCCCGTACAGTTCTGGACCTCAGGCCCCTTTGTACCCACATCATGTCCTCTGTGGGCTAAGCCAAAGGACCCAGGCCCCGGCTCCGGGCAGGGTTGGACTTGGCAGGGGTCCTCCTCCATGGGGCGCCCTGTGTGGGCTGGGGAGCTGCACCACTCAGAGTCTGAGGGTCCGCTTTAGGCTGAGGAGGAGACAATAGCTGTGCTTCTCTCAGGTGGGGGGGTCCCCTGGCACCCTCAGATGGCCATGACCACCGTCCCCTGCCCGCTGGCCCAGCTCTGCCCTCCCCGCACCCCCCAGGCAGCCTGGCAGTGCGGGCTCTGTGCCCTGCACAGTGCGGAGCAGAGGCGAGGGTGGAGGATTAGGGACAGGGTCCCCAGAGGTCACAAGATGGCTGAGCCATCTCTTGTCTTGGCATGGGCACAAGCAGGCAGGGCAGGGTGGGCCGCGCTTCAGCAGGCGTACTGGAGGGTCTGGGGAGGATGGGCAGCTCCGATCGGGGGCGGGGGGGCCTCAGTGTGCTCGCTCCTGTGAGCCCAGCGGGGTCCCAGGCTGGCCGTCCATGGCGGTCTGATGACACCTGCCCGGGTATTCCAGAAGCATCCCCGTTCTCCGGGGAGGAGGACGTGAACGACCCCGAGGCGCTGCGGTCCCTGCTGTCGCTGCAGTGGGAGAGCAAGGCCGCCAGCTTCCAGGCCGAGCGCAAGTTCAACGCCGCGGCCGCCCTCACCGAGCCCTACTGTGCCATCTGCGCCCTCTTCTACCCCTACAGCCAGGTGAGGTGCCCACCGCCCGGCTCACACCGTCACGCGTCCCTGGTGCTTTGCGGGCCGTGCGCGCGTGTGTGGCTGTGTCCAGAGCCATCTTCCTGGGGACCTTGCCCAAACGCGTCTCCCTAGTGACAGCAGGGCCATGGGCGTGATGGAATGGATGTAAGGGGCCAGGGTGTCAGGGCAGGGCCCAGCCAGAGGGGCAGCTACGCCGGGGCAGGGCCCAGCCAGAGGGGCAGCTACGCCAGGGCACGGCCCAGCCAGAGGAGCAGCTACGCCGGGGCAGGGCCCAGCCAGAGGGGCAGCTACGCCGGGGCAGGGCCGCCCTGGTCTGCCAGGGAGGGCGGCGTGAGAGATAGGCTTGCCGCCTGCACCCTTGAGAAGGGGCCGAGGGTGCTTGTGCTGGCCCAGTGCTCTGCCCGCTGGGCCAGAGGGCCTAGGACAGACCCCTTCTCCATAGGGCGCTTGCCCGGGGCACATGCCACTTTGGGCTGCCCACACCGCCCCTGTAAGTGGGACAATGAAGACATGCTTTCTAGACACTTTCTCCAAGCACGATCTGGCCTCTGTGCCACAGAGAGGCTGCCAGGAGCCTACTCTCAGGACCCAGGTCAGCCCTGACTCCTAGTCCCAGTAGCTGCATGACACCTCTGACTAGTTCACCACACCCACCCAGACCACAGATCAGAGGCTACAGGAGCCGTGGGGGGGGGTCTGCAGAGGCACCTGAGGCTGGGCTGCCCTGGCTGACGGTGCCCTCTCCCTCAGTCTGTACAGACAGAGAAGGAGGCCACCCAGGGCCCCCTCGGGGAGGGTGCCTCTGCCCCGCCGCCTTCCAAGAGCGGCCAGCGGACTCGACCGCTCATCCCAGAAATGTGCTTCACGTCCAGCGGGGGGAACACCGAGCCGCTGCCCGCCAACTCCTACGTGGGTGACGACGGCACCAGCCCGCTCATCGCCTGCACCAAGTGTTGCCTGCAGGTCCACGCCAGTGAGTGGCCTGGGCCCTGGGCGGGGGGTGGGGGGTGGGGGGGACAAGGGGCTGAGCTGGGGCGCCTCCCCCCACAGGCTTGCTGGGTGGGCACAGCAGGCATCCTGGCCGCCTGCTGGGACTAAGTCACCCCTAGTTTGGGGCATCCCTGCTGGAGCCCCCCTGCTGACCCAGCAGTGACCCAGAGATGCTGAGGGCACCTCGGGCTGCGGGTCTGGCTCTCCAGGGTCCTCATGTCACTAGACCCAAAGGCCTGGCCCGCTCACCCCAGGAGCCCAGGTGCCGGCCCGGCCCAGCTCTCAGCACCCGCTGTCTTGCAGGTTGCTACGGGGTCCGGCCAGAGCTGGCCAAGGATGGCTGGACGTGCTCCCGGTGTGCGGCCCACGCCTGGACTGCGGTAACGCGCCCTGTGCGGGGTGGTGCTGGCCCAGGCGGCCCCCAGCCTGGGTCAAGGGACTGACCTGGTCCAGGGTCCTGTTTCCCTGCACCTGGCGGGTGGCCCTGGGGTGCGGTAGGAGCCGCAGGGAGGGTGCGCCCAGGGTGGGGTGGCCTGGCCATCACCCTCTCTGGCCCACAGGAATGCTGCCTGTGCAACCTCCGGGGAGGGGCGCTGCAGACCACCACCGAGCACAGGTGCGCACGGCCGGCCGCCGGGGCGGGGGGGGGGGGGGGTGGGACAGGACTGGGGTCTGGGAGCGGGGTCCCCACTGATCGAAGCTTCCTCAGCCACCAACAAGCTGGCAGCTGTGTGGGGCAGGGACTGTCCCCTGTCCTCGCCGTGGCCTGGTGTGCCTTGCTCTCCCACTGCCTGCCGGCCCTGCCCGGCCTATGGGCCCTGCTGTGGAACCCCCTGTGACCCCTGTCCCCGCCCCCCAGGTGGATCCACGTGATCTGCGCCATCGCCGTACCCGAGGTGCGGTTCTTGAACGTGATCGAGCGCAACCCGGTGGACATCAGCGGCATTCCCGAGCAGCGGTGGAAACTGGTACGGCCCCAAGGCCAGCGGCCTCTGTCACCGCCCCCTCCCCCCCCCCCGGCCCCCGGGGGCCCCTCCTCCAGAGCCTGCGTCTCTGGGACCGGGAGCCAGGCACTTGGACATGTGGCTCCACAAATACTTTTGGGGTGTCATGCGCTCAGGCGCCAAGTACAGGAGCCCCGGCACACAGGGTAGAGTGAGGAGCAGGTCCTCCACACTCGCTCCCGCGTTCTCACCAAGCCAGTGCCGACGTGGCCTGCCACAGTGCCAGCGCTGCCGCCGCGCCATCCCCCACTGTTCCAGTCACGGCTTGTTCTGGAACTTCGTACCCACTGCGCCTCGTCACCCTCCACCCTGTCCCCTGCCCCACCCTGCCTCACGCACTTGCCTATCTCTTGTACTCGTTTTTCGGTGACTGACTTGTTCCATTCAGGATAATGTCCTAGGGATTCATCCAAGGGCCAGCTGAATATGGCAGCGTTTCCTCTCTTTTCATGGCTGAATAATAGTCCATGGAGTAGCTGGACTTCATGTTCCTTGTCGTTGTGTTCGTGGTGGTTGCCTGGCTGGGGCCACCGCGGAGCTGTTAGGAAAGCTGCCATGCCGCCGCCGTGTGCGCTGCAGGTGCTGGCTTCTGCGGGCGGCACCCGGCCCAGGCTGTGGCTGGCAGATGGACCTACTCAGAGACCCTCCTGGTGCTGCCATTTGCCCGCATGCCAGTGCAGCATGCATGGTGTACAAGGTCTCTTGTCCGCGTGCCCGCCGGCACTCAGTGTGCTGTGAGGTCTTCCTGGCTCTGGTTTGCTTATTTTTTTGGTGGTTTGGCGTATTGGCGTTGTCGAGCATCTTGTCAAGTTGCTGTTAGCTTCTGGACATTGTCTATAGAGATGTGTTCAGCGCCAAAGTGGCACTTGGATTTTGCCATTGAGGTATTTGTTCCTGGTCCCAACGAGGCCCCTTTATTTATTTGTTTGGTTTGTTGGTTGTGGGGCTTGAACTCTGGGCCTGGGCGCTGTCCCTCAGCTCTTCACCTCAAGGCTAGCACTCTGTCACTTGAGCCACAGTCCACTTCCAGTTTTCTGGTGGTTCATTGGAGATAAGAGTCTCACAGACTTTCCTTCTCGGGTTGTCTTTGAACCTCGATCCTCAGATCTCAGTCTCCTGAGTAGCTGGGGTGACAGGCGTGAGCCACCAGCGCCTGGCAGAGGCCCCTTTGGGACCACAGCCACCACTGGGTGCAAGCTCACCCCACTTCCCCTGGGGTGGACCTACCTGTCAGCTGCTGTGTGATTCCAGACAGCCTTTGCTGTCTCTGTGCTCCAGCCTTCCCACCTAGCTGTTGGGGCTGCCTCTTGCCATGCTTGGTCCAGGCAGTAGCAGCTACAGCATTTTGGGGCACCCCTGCGCCAGCCGGCGCACAGGCGAGGAGTCTGGGATGTGGGTCCAGGCACCGCGTTCAGTGTGTCCCTGGCCTCTTTGCTCCCTGTGCCCAGGGCACTTGGGGCTCCCCACCAGCCATCGAGGGGCCGTGTCCCCACCCAGGCGAGGTCCAGGCAGTGTGCAGCGATTGGTTCATTTGCGCCCACAGAAGGGGCAGCTCCCAGGAGCCATCTTAGTGGCTAGCCGCTGTGGAGGCGCAAGCGTGTTGCATCCTGCGGGGCCAGGCTCCCGAGTGGATGGAGCCAGGCCCCGGAGCCACGGGGGCAAGGCCACCTGGCTGGCTGGGAGCGGCCGCCAGGCCCATTTGGAAGTGATGGCTGCCAGCCTGGCCTGGCGTGGATGGGCAGTTGAGGGCCAGTCGCGGCAGGTGACGCCCCCGGCGTGGCACGAAAGGCTCCGTTATTCAGGCGGAGGGAGCGGTGGCGCGGGCCGCGGCGATGAGTCCTTCTGCTGAAGCTTTACGGATCATCTGACATTTCCAGCCAGCAGCCTCTTCATCGCAAGCGCGTGTAACGATGAATTAAAAATCCTCTTACACCAGGCATGCTTGTACTGTTTAATGGAGCCGAGCAAGCTGCGCATTAACTCCTGCAGGCCCGGCGGGTGCCGGCGGCTGCACCCCCAGGACCGCTCGCCGTGGGCTCTGGTGTGAGAGCCCCAGAAACGAGGAACTGGCAGGGAACAGGGCAAGGGCAGATCGTGCAGTGTGTGGCCACAGTCAGGATGGTCCTCCCTGGAAGCTTCCTGAGGACTGCAGGGGCTCGGGCTGGGCAGCGCAGGTGGGAGCGGGCAGATGGAGCCGGCTTTACCTGATGCCCACAGTCCCGCCGCAGGCTCGGGGCTGTGGTCAGGCTTCTGCCCGCGCCTCGGGCACAGGGGCGAGCGTGGCGTGGTGCGGGGTGGGCTGGGGTGCACCCCCACCCCCACGCCCTCCACAGCCATGTGGGCTAAGGGAAGGATGCCAAGCTGGAGACCAGGGGCAGGGCTCAACCCCGGCCCACAGGGCATCTGCTCCCTTATGAGATGGTGGCGCTGGGCATCCTTGGCCCTGCCATGGTGGAAGCATGGGGGGCCTCTCCATGAAGTGGGGAGACAGGGACACACACCGCCCGTGGGTGCAAGTGGATTGTGTTGGGCACAGCTGTGGCTATGCGGGCTTTCTCCCGGGAGCCCCGGCGTGTGCAGAGTCCCAGCACACGGGCCCTGGGGTGAGGCCCACACCCAGGGAAGCGTGGCCTGCCGCCTGTACATCAGCCTGGCCCTGCTGAGGTATTGGCAGCTTAATAGTGAGATCTTGTCACCATTGATCATCTGCCCCTCCAGCTCGGTTCACAGCGGCAAAGGCCTTGCTACCAAATACCCTGAGGGGGCTTTTATTAAAGCTGCAGCGGAATTCTCCCTCTTGGCCTTGTAAAATGCAGGCTTCCATGGTTTTGTGCAGCACTGTAGTATATTTGGATTGCCCAGGGGATGGGTTTCTTATTGTGATGATAGAATGTTCCAGAAGTAGATGGTTCCTGTGGAGGACAGATGGTCCTCCCAATGCCCCAGCCTGGGCAGGTAGCCGTGTTGAAGCCCCCCATGCACAGAGGCTAGGGCTTGCAGAGCTCAGCCTGGGGCTGGGGTGAAGGCTCTCGGCTGGTGGGGACCCCACCCAAGGCTGGGCCATTTGGGGAACCATCTGTCCTCCACCTAGCCACTGCTAGGAGAGTCTGGGGTGGGGCGGTGGGGCTCCTGCCCCCGGGCACAGAGCACCGGGCCCCATTCCATGCCTGTGCCCCACAGAAGTGTGTGTACTGCCGGAAGCGGATGAAGAAGGTGTCAGGTGCCTGCATCCAGTGCTCCTACGAGCACTGCTCCACCTCCTTCCACGCCACGTGCGCCCACGCAGCCGGCGTCCTCATGGAGCCAGACGACTGGCCCTACGTGGTCTCGATCACCTGCCTCAAGCACACGTCCCCCGGGCATGCTGTGAGTGACTACTCTCCCAGCCCGCCCGTGCAGCACCCACACCAGCACCAGCACCGGCCCTGCCCTTCCCGACCTACCCTGCACCTGCCCCACCCCCTGGCCGACGCCCCGCCCCCTGGCCGACACCCCGCCCCCTGGCTGATGCCCCGCCCCCTGGCCGACACCCCGCCCCCTGGCTGACGCCCCGCCCCTGGCTGACGCCCCGCCCCCTGGCCGACGCCCCGCCCCCTGGCCGACACACCGCCCCCTGGCTGACACCCGCAGGCACAGCTCCAGAGGGCCGTATCACTGGGCCAGGTGGTCATCACCAAGAACCGCAACGGGCTCTACTACCGCGGGCGTGTCATCGGCTCCAGCTCACAGACCTTCTACGAGGTGAACTTCGAGGATGGGTCGTACAGCGACAACCTGTACCCCGAGAGCATCACGGTGAGCCCCTGAGGGTCCGGGAAGCACGGGTGGGGCCTGGCCTCCCGATGCCTGCCTCACCGTCCTATGCCCTGCTGTCCCCAGAGCAGAGACTGCGCGCGGCTGGGGCCGCCGCCCGAGGGCGAGGTTGTGGAGCTGCGGTGGACGGACGGCAACGTCTACAAGGCCAAGTTCATCTCCTCTGCCACCAGTCACATCTACCAGGTAAGCTGGGGCGCGGATGGCGGCAGTGCTTGCTGTGGGGCGCCATGAGCCGTTGCTCCAATGCTGGCTGGCTGTTTTGGGTGATGGGGGCAAAGTGCTCCACCCCACCCCCCACTCTGACCGTGTTGAGTCCAAGATGGCAGAGTCACTGTCTCGTGGCGCATTTCAGTGTGTGGCCTCAGAGTCCCCCGGTCCAGCCCCTCTGCACCACGTGCACAGAGCATGGCCACAGAGGTCACACGGCCTCCTTACACACCTGAGTGTCACCGTCCCCACAGCCGGTCCCAGGCTGCCACGGAGCGGTGTCGCCCTCCGGCAGCTAAAGTTGACATGGCCTGGCACGGCCCCGCTGCTCGGCCTGGCCCGCTTTTCCTTTCGGGCCTCGCTCCCGAGGCAGCCGGGCACCCAGCCCGGGCATCCCACCAGGGATGCCCGCTTGCACAGGCAGGGCAGGCTCACCGGCCTGGCACACACGGGCCGCAGGCAGAGGATGGTGAGCAGAAGATGCTCCACGTCAGCTTCGGGGTAGCTGTCACCACTTAAGGGTTGCTGTCCGCCCAGGGTTCCAGGGGCCACAGGAGCTGCGGGAGACAAGGGGCCTGCGTTCACAGCCGTCGGGCTGGGCCTTGAGCGCCTCGGGACAGCAGCAGCCCTGGGCATCCTCGGGAGCCGACCGTCAGGAGGTGCTGCACACGGCGGCCTGTGCAGTGCGCGGCTCCTGCCTCAGAAAGAGGGGAGACCGCAGTGTGGGGTCTCTGTCTGTCCCTGGAGCCCCATCTTCTACCTCTCGCCCAGGGGTCCCACAGCTGTGCCCCACAGCCCATCTCCTGTGCCGCCCGGCTGTGTCCCTCACCCTGCGGCGGGGTCCTGCCCAGCCCCCTCTGCATGAGGACGCCAGGAGGACTCCGGCCTCCCGGCTTGGCGCAGCCTCGTTCTCCACCCCACAGCACGGAGCCCTGCCAGGCCCAGGCCTGCGTGGGCAGCTGGGTGCCGCCCTAAATAGTGCCTGGTCCACAGGTGGAGTTTGAGGACGGGAGCCAGCTGACAGTGAGGCGCGGTGACGTCTTCACGCTGGAGGAGGAGCTCCCCAAGAGGGTGCGGTCCCGGCTGGTGAGTGGCCCTGATACAGGGCGTGGTGGGCGGGTGCACGGCTGCCCCGCCCTCCTCCCCCTCCCCCTAGCCCTGCCCCGCCCTCCTCCCCCTCCCCCTAGCCCTGCCCCAACTCAGGCCCCATGTGGCCTGGCCCCGGCCCTAAGGAGCTGTGGGCCCACCAGCCATGGGTTGCCAGGGTCACCCACCTCCCTCCTGGGCATGGTCAGAGTGCAGGGCCCCCCACTTGGGGCTCAGGGCTCCAGCAAGGGCTGGGGCTGGCCGGCAGGGTGTGGGCCGTGCTGGGCGGCTGCGCTGACCGCTCTCTGTCTCCTGCAGTCACTCAGCACTGGGGCACCCCAGGAGCCCAGCTTCTCAGGAGAAGAGGTGAAGGCTGCCAAGCGCCCACGAGTTGGCACCCCGATCACCCCCTCCGAGGACTCGGGGCGCAGCCCGGACTACCTGGCCTTCATGGAGAGCCTCCTGCAGGCGCAGGGCCGGCCGGGAGCTCCTTTCTAGGACGGCGCTGCTGCCATGCCAGCCCGGCGCAGCGGGCCACATTGGCGGCCTGGGTGTCTGCTTGCTGTGAATTCCTGCCCTGCGCCTCTCCCCGCCCGGGTGACCCCGGGGCCCAGGGCCCGCCCCGCCCCCCGGGACCGCAGGACAAATGGGCATGGCAGCCTGGACTCAGGGAGCAGGGCCAGGGCTCCGCGGTGGCCGGACAGTGCCACGACCTCCGCCCTCGGCCCTGTTCTTCTCCAAAAGGTGCTATGGCTGCGGCGAGCAGCCGGGGGCCTGCGCCCCGCCTGGCGATCCCCCCGCCCCCCTGCACGCCAGGAAAGGGAGCCCGCGGGAGAACCCAAAGCTGTTTTCTAGATTTGTGGCTTTAACACCAACAAGCGAAACAGAACCAGGGGGCTTCTCTTCTCAGCCCCGCGATGCGTGGAGCCGAAGCGCGTGGATTTCTGGGGTTTCCCATCTCCGCAGCCACTGAGCGGGCAGGGACGGCGCCGCAGCTCAGGGACACGGGCAGGCCCGGGGACTCGGATGCCACAGCTGGCCGGGAGCGCCGGGGCTCTGCAGCGGCGACCGGTGGCGGCCGGGCTCTCTGGCGGGGTCCCCGCAGGGCTGCCTGGCTGTCACCGGCTGAGGTGGCAGGACCCTCCAGGCCCGGGCCAGCACGTGGGGGGAGGGCAGGGCAAGCCAGGCGCAGGATGTGGCGCGCGTCCATCTGCTCAGGCGCGGATGGCACGCAGGTCCCTGCTTGACCTGCCTGGTGGACAGAGGGGCCTCCGGTCCCCCCTCCGCCTGTGTCCTCTGCCATATGGACGTGTGACCCAGCAGAGGAGGGGCCCCTGGCTTCACGGGGGCTGTGAGGGCCCCGGCCAGGGGAGGGCGGCAGCCGGCGCCCCTCTGCCAAGCCTCGGCCTCGGAAGGACCCGCAGGGGTGGGGGGCCCGCGCTGCCAGGGCCCCGGGGGGAGGAGGGGGGCAGCTAGGACACCCACACGGCGGCCCACGCCCGTGTTTGAATGCTATTTATATTGTAAAGAGAAGGAAGGGGAGCCGCACCCTGGGTCCGTGTGGGCCGCAGCCCGGGGGCCTGGGTGACCGGCAGAAGGCCACCGCAGGGGTCAGCACAGGACAGCACACCGAGACACCTGTGTCCTATTTTGTGCAAAAGCAAAATGAAACAGAACCCCACCCCCCTGTGTTCCCACGCAGTGCAGGGCGCGCTGTTCCCCCACCTCCCCGCCTCTTGGCCATGAATTAAAGGCTCTTGAGCACTTGGAACTCGGCGTTGGTGTGGGAAGTGTGGTCATTCCTGGCCTGTGCTGGCCAGCGGCGGGCGGGGCGGGGCTCAGCCGCCAGGTGGCGCGCTCACGCAGCCGCAGCCCTGGGGTAGGGAAGGGCTGAGGCCCAGCAGAGGTGTGTGGAGAGGCGCTGTGTGGAGAGGCGTGTGACTGCTTCAGATCAGAAGTGAGGTGAACATAAGTGAGCTGTGTGTGGAGGCTGCCGGGCTCCCCAGGCCGCTGCAGGCCCCACGCGAGCCACCCCCACTCTGCTGTGGGCTTACCAGGGCCGGATCTGAGAGAAGCCACCGTTCACTGTGGCTGTTCAGTGGGCCCTGCGCCCACCGAGTTTCCTCTCCTGCCCACCCTGGCCACTCCTCAGGTCAGGGTATGCGTCCACGGCCTGGGGTTTTCTGGCAACCCCGAGCATGTCTGCCACACCCCAGGGACCACATCCAAGCCACTCACTCTCTGGTTTAAGATCTGCTAGTGCCAAGGAGCCGGGCACCAGTGCTCATGCCTGTCACCCTGGCTACTCCTAGGGCTGAGATCTGAGGGTCTAATCCATGAGACTCTTACCTCCAATAAACTACCAAAAAATAAAACAGTGGGGCTGTGGCTCAAGTGGTAGAGCACCAACCTTGAGTGAAAAAGCTCAGGGACAGCACTGTGTTCAAGCCCCAGGACCAGCGTGCGCGGGTGTGCGCACGCGCGCACACACACACACACACACACACACACACACACACACACGGCGTAGATGTGCAGTAGTTCCATTCAAAGCTTCAGATGAGATGGCAGTCCTGCCAGTACATTTACTGGATCCATTTCTATGTTTTACTACGTTGGGAATGAACCCACAGTCTCATGAGTGTTACTTATAACACTCACCGCTGAAAATAATAATACAACCCTAGAGCTTGGAACCCATCTGATCCTCCCCACACCCACCTCGGGGTGGTGAGATCGTCAATGTGGATTGTTATGCAGCCTCAGCTAATACAGTACACAAATGTTTTCTCAGTTATGTCTGGTGTGTGTGTGTGTGTGTGTGTGTGTGTGTGTGTGTGTGTGAGAACTGCCATTCATTTAGGCCACAGGCAATTGGTTTCTGTCATTATAAATTAGCATTCCCTACCCTGGCTTGTCATGTCAACAGAATCCTAAGACAAGATTTTTCCTCAGGTTTTTTTTTCTCGTTTGTTTCTTTGTTTTCCCCTCAGTGCTGTGTATTTGAGAGTCAGCCTTGTGTGGTTTTGCAGTGTGGTCCTTTTTTCCTGGCTGCTTAGTATTCCACTGTGTGCATGCACCAAGATTGACACATTCACCAGCTGACACACACTGGTGATTGTGCCTAGAACAGCTGTAAACTTATCCTTGTGAAAGGTTCTTTGTGGCGACCTTGTGATCATTTATTTCCTGTCACTGCATTTCGGCTGGTTGGAGGACATTGGTGGCTGAGGTGGTTTCAACTATGAAGCTTTTGAGCCACAGCGCCACTTCCAGCTTTTTTCTGCTTATGTCGTGCTGAGGAATCGAACCCAGGGCCTCATGCATGCAAGGTAAGCACGCTACCACTGAGCCACCTTCCCAGCCCCCGAAGCTTTTTTTTTTTCTTCTTCTTCTTCTTGGTCTTGGGGCTTGTACTCTCTGATCCTGGGCATTGTCCCTGGGCTCCTTTTGCTCAAGGGGAGAGCTCTACCACTTGAGCCACAGCGCCACTTCCAGTTTTCTGGTGATTCATTAGAGATAAGAGTAATGGACTTTGCTGCCCTGTCTAGCTTCCAACTTTGATCCTTAGATCTCAGCCTCCTGAATAGCTGGGATTACAGGTGTGAGCCACCAGCTTGAAGCAATTTGACAGAAGATTGCAGTGACTGTCCTTGTACCTAACGTGCAGCCATGTGCTTGGGACACAGTGGCCAGGGCTGAGGGTGAGGGCCATGCCTGGTGAGGGTGTTGGAGAGGACCCAGGAAGTGGGTGCATCTCAGAGGACAAGAGTCAAAGTCAGGACCCTTCTCCCCCAGGTCCTGGGGGTCACAGGAGGAGCCGGTGATGGGAGCAGGCCGGGCCGGGCCCTGTGGTTGACAGGGAGGGGGTTCCAGAGCCACCGCAGCCTGAGCCAGCCGCTGGACACCGCGCCACCAGCACCTGATAATACAGTCTTGCAAACAGCTGCCTGGTGACAAGCATAATAAGGCGTATTAATGAGGCCGTTATTACACCTAATTAAAAGCTAATATCTAAGAGTTAATTGCCTTTAAAAGATGAAGCGGGACAGCCTGGGATTTATCTCCGCTCTCCTTAGCTCGCCTGGATAGGCTGATATTGGAGAGCTAATTAATTGAATCAAATCTTACAGAAAACTAATAATCTGATCGTGCGGCCTGGACCTGTGAGCGGGGTGTCGGCCGAGGCGTCTGGGACTTTACGGCCCCGGCGGGGATGGAAGCTGGAGCTGGGGGCTGAGGTTGAGGGCGGGGGTTCCCGGCTTCTCCTGGACGGTATCCACGGGGACTCCCAGGCGGCCTCAGGTTGTTCCAGGGGGACACACAGAGCTGCTTCTAATATCAACATTGCTAATCATTATTAGACCCTTGTATTTGCTTTGGTTGTACTGGACTTTGAACTCTGCGCCTCTTGCAGGCCACGCCCCTCAGCGGCGAGCCACGCCCTACTTAGCCACGCCCCTGCCATGCTCCCACTGCTTCATCCACGCCCCTAAGGCTCGGGCCACGCCTCACGGCCCAAGCCACACCTCCAGGGCTGAGCCAAGCCTCTGCTGCAGAGCCACACCCCCTGACCCAAGCCACGCCCCATAGCCCAAGCCAGGGCTCCAGCCACGCCCCCAGGCTCCGGCCACGCCCCCAGGCTCCAGCCAGGGCTCCAGCCAGGGCTCCAGCCAGGGCTCCAGCCAGGGCTCCAGCCACGCCCCCAGGCTCCAGCCAGGGCTCCAGCCACTCCTGCAGGGCTCCAGCCACGCCTCCAGGGCTCCAGCCACCCTCCAGCTATTTTGTGTTTTATTCTTTAGAGCTTTGCATTTGCTCCCTCTTCGGGCCTGGACTGTGATTCCCGCTTACACATCCCGCATGAACTCAGACCACCACGCCCGACCTGGAGTGCCATTCAGCAGTGCCTCGGGTTCCATCCTCAGCACGGCAAAGGGTTTCACACCTGTCATCCTAGCTCCTCAGGAGGCTGAGATCTGGAGGATCACAATTTAAGGCCAGCCCAAGCAGAAAAGCCTTCAAGCCTCCATTCTCCAATGAACTAGTAAAATGTAGGACTGGAGATGTGGCTCAAATGGTAACAGTATGTAACCCAGAAGAACCAAATGAGCTCAGGGCCCCAGGTTCCTATTCTATAACCTCCCCCCCAAAAAAATTTTTTTTAGGGCTGGGAAGGTGGCTCAGTGGTAGAGCGCTTGCCTGGCATGCCTGAGGCCCATTTCTCAGCACCACATAAGCAAAAAAAAAAAAAAAAAAAGCCAGAAATGGTGCTGTGGCTCAAATGGTTGAGCTCAAGCCTTGAGCTGAAAAGCTGAAGGACAGCACCCAGGCTCAGAGTTCAAGCCCCACTACCCAACCCCCCCCCCCCAATTTTTTAATCTGAGAACAAAGCCTTGAGGATGAGGACGGATGGCTGCACACCCATGCCTCAGGCCCCATAGGGACACCGAGCTCGTATTGAGGGACAGTCAGACGCTTGCACACCGTGGGCAGACGTGGGGTGAGGGACACGTGTGTTGGCGAGCTGTGCATTCGGAGGCCTGCTGCTTGTGCCAACACCACGCACGTCTCTGCTTGTGGTCACAGGACCATTTCGTGTTTTAAGTTACAAGTCATTTTCAGACGGGAGAACAGTAGGGGTGATCCTCTGGGAATTTTCTTTAAAAACAAAAAAAAAAAAGCAGGGAACAGTCAGATTTCATTAGCACTGAGAAGTCCCCGGGGCAGTCGCAGCTGTGTGTGCTTTCCACAGATGTGTGTGCGTGTCTGTAAACTTAGCAGAGAAGAACCCATGGAGCTGGTCACGCCTGTCATCCCAGCTACTCAGGAAGCTGAGGTCTGGGGACTGCAGTTCGAAGCCAGCCTGGACAGGAACTTCTGTGAGAGTCTCATCTCCAATAAATTACTCGGAAAAAGCTTGCAGGGGAGCTGTGGCTCAAGTGAGCCATCTATAAATCAGCAGCTAGCCACGCAGTCTTACAACTGCCTCCTTTGTGGTTATTCTTAAGCCTTTAACACGGAGGAGGTCACTTCCTCCAGGAAGCCTCTTCCACCATGATTTTCCTGTACTGTACTTCGTGGTCCCTGTTCCCTGGGTAGTAGGCTCATCTCTTAAATATGGTGCCTAGCACCGGTAGCTCGTGCTTATGGTCCTAGCTACTCAGGAGACTGAGAGTTGAGGATCATAGTTCAAAGCCAGCCTAGGTAGAAAAGTCTGTGAGACTCTTATCTCTAATTAACCACCAAAAAGCTGGAAATGGAGCTGTGGTTCAATTGGTAGAGCTGTGTATCTTCGAGCAACAAAGCTCAGAAACAGCACCAGGACCAACACATACACACACACACACACACACACACACACACACACACACACACACACGCACACACACACACACACACAAATATTGGCTGAGGGCATATGTCTTCATCAATTTATTATCTTTTGGTTGGTGATGGGTCTTGAACTCTGGGCCTTGGTGCTGTCCCTCAGCTCTTCAGCTCAAGGCTAGCGCTCTACCACTTGAGCCACAGCGCCACTTCTGGCTTTTTCTGCTTATGTGGTGCTGAGGAATCAGACCCAGGGCCTCATGCATGCGAGGCAAGCGCTCTACCACTGAGCCACCTTCCCAGGGTGGGACGCAGCCCAGGATGATGCAATTCACAGGCTGGGTGGTGTCCACGTCCCCCCCCCCCCCTTCCTGCCCCGAGCCCTGTGGGAAGCGCTGGGTTAAACCTGCATCAAGGCCCCAAGCCCAGGCTATTGAAGAGAGGCAGGCGGCCTGTTTGAAAAGAGGTGGAGGAGGCAGAGAGATAAAGGCAGGACCTGCGGCCTGCCCTCCCCTCCCCTCCCTGCTCTTTGGGGGGGGGGGCAGCCCCTTTGTCTGCATTGACTGAAATGCAAACAGAAGAATCTGCCGCTTTCTCTCGCCTTCTTCTGGACGGTAATGAATTCGGCGGCTACAGGCAGAGCAGGCGGAGGGAATGGCTTTGGAGAGATTATTTTGTTCCTTTTTAAATAACTTTTCATGTCAGGCGGGCTGGTCACTGCGCGCGGCTCTGCTCCGCACAATGGCCCGGAGTCGTGCGGCGCGCGGCCGGTGCCCCCCCTCCGCCCCCCTCCCGCCCGCGCCCCCCTCCCCCTGCCCTCCCTCCCCCCCCCCCCCCCCCCCGGCCGCGCTGCGCTTTGATTCTCAGGCACGCAGCTTTATCTGCTGGGCAAAGCAGATAACCATAACATAATAGAAACAAAATCCCGTCCGGTGCGGCTTGCTGCCGAGGGCTCCGCGGCGGCTCCTCGCCCTTAAGGACGCGGGTAGAAAAAAATGGGGCTTTGTAAGGCGCTGCGTGCTCGGCCGCGGGCAGAGCGAGCCCTGTCCGACACGAACCCCGCGGCGCACGGCCTGCCTGGTGGACATCGCCTTGCGATGACCGGTGCGGCCCTGATGGTCAGCGGGCCCCGTGGTCCGGCCTGCTGGAGGCCCGGCCCAGACCAGCCTCACCGCCCCACAGACCCCACGGGACGGGACTGGCCGCCGGAGGGGCGTGCCGCGCCGCCGGAGGGGCGTGCCGAGCCGCCGAAGGGGCGTGCCGAGCCGCCGAAGGGGCGTGCCGAGCCGCCGAAGGGGCGTGCCGAGCCGCCGGAGGGGCGTGTCGTGCCGCCGGAGGGGCGTGCCGTGCCGCCGGAGGGGCGTGTCGTGCCGCCGGAGGGGCGTGCCGTGCCGCCGGAGGGGCGTGCCGAGCCGCCGGAGGGGCGTGTCGTGCCGCCAAAGGGGCGTGTCGTGCCGCCGGAGGGGCGTGCCGAGCCGCCGGAGGGGCGTGTCGTGCCGCCGGAGGGGGCGGGGCGTGCCACTGGAGGAGGTGGGCGTGGAGCCCCACATGGCGAGCTGTCTATTGGGATTGGACAGCGGGCAGCTTGGGGGAGGAGCATGAAGGACGGTTTGAAACCATTAATGTTGGGGGAGAGGCGCGCAGCCTAACTGGGTCTCTATGGGCTGCGTGCTCCGAGGCCCAAAGAGGGAGGTTAGGGGGAAAACAGTCCCGAGGGAGGAGAGGGGAGTAGGAGAGGGGAGTCCTGAGGAGAGGAGAGTAAGGGGAAAAGCAGAGTCCTGGGGGAGGCGAGGCGTGGAGGGGAGGGGAAAGCCTGCTGGAGCAGCGCAGGGCAGGCCTGTGCAGGGCAGGGCAAGCCTTGAGCGGCCATTTGGGGCCTCCTCCGAGGCCATTTGGGACGAGAGGCCTGTGGGGAGGCGCCTCCTGGAGCAGAGCACGGCAGGCCGTGGAGCGTGGAGAGGCCTGCAGGGAAGGAGACAGACGGGAAGAAAAGCAATAGAGGTTTGGAGGTCTGAGCTTTGCAGGTCAGGGGGTCAGGGCTGCCTATTGGAGGCTTGGAGGTTTGGTGGTGGAGGCTGCTCTTGGTTATGAGCCCAGACAAGGTAGTCTCAGGACCCCTTTCTGGTGTAAACAGTGTATATAAACGTCGTCTACCTTTCACGGTACCTCGATGGATTGTCTCGCTCTCAGGAGGTCCTAAGCGCGTCTCAGCCTAGTCACACAGCTGGGTCCTCTCCAAGCAACTTCTTGCTGGCCTAGGGGTCAGGCCTCACCCTTGCGGACCTGCCAACCACTCACACTCTAGTTAACGTCAGCGAGAAGTGGGAGGAAGGGCGGGACAGCTGGACAGAGGCTCGGAGGGGAGGCGCTCCGCGGGTGTGGGCAGCCTGGCAGACACCGAGGGGCCGGATGATAGCGACCCCCGCGGCGCCAGGACAGGACAGGAGCAGCCTGCGGCCCTCTTCCTCCCCCTGCTTCCCAGAGTGGCTCAAGGGAGAACAACGGGCCCTTTACAGGGCGGGGCCCAGCGGGAGGAAGTGACGCCACGGGGCGGGCTCGCCGCGGGCCACGCCCCCGGGCTCCTCACTTCCTGGCCTCGCTGAGGAGAGCTGCTCGGCGCCGGCCCGGGCGTCGCTGACGTCGCTGCGTCACTGACGTCCCCGCAGCTGGCGACCCGCACGGCTGCTTCCGTTTGTGGCGGGGCGCGCCGTCCTGGAACTCGTGGCCCTGGGCTTTTTTGTTGTCGTCGGTCGCGGGGCCTGGGCGCCGTCCCTCAGTCTCGCGGCCTCTCCCGCCCGGGCTGGCTTTGAACCGCCGTCCTCGGCGCTCAGCCTCCCGCGTAGCCGGGGGACAGGCGCGAGCGCCGGCGCCCCGCTGGCCCTGAGCTTCACGCAAGCCCGGCGCGCTGCCACGAGAGCCAGAGCGCCACTTCCGGCTTTTTGGTGGCTCATCGGAGTTTCCCGGGCTTTCCCGCCTGGGGCTGGCTTCGAACCATGATCCTCAGGCTCAGTCCCGGCGCCTGCGCCCCCACCGCCCTCAGCGCCCCCGGGTCCCCGCAGGCCTGACTTCCGGCCGTCTCCTCACCGAGGTCCCGACTTCCCTTTCACTCTCTCGCTTCACAGCTTCCTGCCGGGGATGGGGCCGGGGCCGGGGGCCGGTGCTTGGGAAGGAGCGGGGGTCCGCCGTGACCGTGAGCCGCCCCCGGTGCGCTCCGCCCGTGCCGGGCCCTGTCCGGTGCGCTCCGCCCGTGCCGGGCCCTGCCCGGTGCGCTCCGCCCGTGCCGGGCCCTGTCCGGTGCGCTCCGCCCGTGCCGGGCCCTGCCCGGTGCGCTCCGCCCGTGCCGGGCCCTGTCCGGTGCGCTCCGCCCGTGCCGGGCCCTGTCCGGCTCGTTCAGGCCAGCGTTGGCCACGGCGCCCCGAGCTCCGTTTGCCTGGGACCAAGCGAGGGCCCCCTCCCTGGTCTTCTTTCCTGCTGTCTCCCGGGCTAGATCTTGGCCAGGGTCTGTGAGCAGACCGCACAGCAGGTGCTTCGTAAACCTTTTTTTTCCTCCTTAGACACCTGTGGTAGCACCGGGGGCCCTGTGGATGCTGAGTGTCCAGAGCGAAGGGAAACTGCTCAGTGGGCTTGAGATGGATACTAGGCCCATGAAGCCCAGAGGAGAGAAATAGGTGCTTTCTTAGGGCAGACTTTAGCACTGGCCTTTGAGGATTGCGTAGGAGCTCCTGGGGCACAAGAGCCTGGTGTATTGGTCTTGGATGACTCCGGCAGGCAGAGGCTTGGGTTAGCATTTTTGTCTTTTCTGTCTCCTGTCCCACAGTATGAAATGAGAAGTGTTCCTGTCCCATACTTGTGCATTCAGCGGTTACTGAATGTGCTCCACATATGGTTGCCTGCCTTTGTTTTCCTCTGCTCGCTGCCTGTCCTTCCCACCACCCACGAGAGCGCAGTGTGCTCCCATGCCAACTCCCCCACCACTGCCAGGGCCCCATCCCGTCTCCCCTCCACTCCTTCCATGTTCACTTGCTTCTGGTGGCTATGGTGCTTGTTTACAAGGTGTGGGATGAATGTTTTCCAAGAAATGGACTTTGATTTTGCTCAAAGCATTCCCATATTGCGGTTGGTCTCCATCTTCCCTCTTCTCCTGGTCTCGCTGTTCTATTCCTTAGCAATTGTCTGAATTGGAGCTTGGGTCATTTGTTTTTATGATTTCACTTTTTTTTTTCTGGTTGGTTGTGGGGCTTGAACTCTGGGCCTGGGCGCTGTCCCTCAGCTTCAGCTCAATGCCAGCCCTCTACCACTTGAGCCACAGGCCACTTCTGGTTTTATTGGATCAGTCACACAGCTTTTCCTGCCAGTACTGGCTTTGAACTGCAATCCTCAGATCTCAGCCTCCTGAGTAGTAGGATGACAGGCGTGAGCCACATATGCCCAGCTTCACTCAGTTTTAAAATATGTTCCAAAAAGAAAAAAGCCGGAAGTGGTGCTGTGGCTCAAGTGGTAGAGTGCTAGCCTTGAGCTGAAGAGCTGAGGGACAGCACACAGGCCCAGAGTTCTGGCCCCACGACCGGACCCAAAAAAAAAATAAAATAAAATATGTTCCAGACTTTGAATTTTCCTCTCAATACTACCCGGGTGGCACCTAGATTTCAGTCTGTGACGCATATTTTTGAGTGGTTAGGTTTCAAACACTTGTGACTTCATTTTGATATCCCACACAGTGTGACAGTGACTACGCATGGCCATGAGTGGCCCAGGACACGGGGAGGGGCTGCCCCAGACGGTGGACCATGGCCACAGGTGGTGAGGAGCCCACCCTGGTTGAGGCCGTGTTGGGGCAGACCATGCTTGCTGGCCTCCAGGTGTGTGACCTGTCTGCCCCCTGCTGAACTATGGTTTCCTCGTCTGTGAGGTGAGACTTGCACCTGAGCCCAGCCCACAGCAGGTTCTCAGTCAGAGTCACCATTATTATTAGCACGGAGGCAGTTCCTAGGGGGCTGGGTCCGGGATTCCGGTTCAAATCCCAGTCTGTTCAGGAAGTGGCTGTCAGCTGGATCACACGCCGTCTCTCGGGGTGCGGATGGGAGGGGTGTTAGGCGCAAATAAGACTCCAGTGGCCCGGTCGGACCGTCTCCCTTTAATACAAAGTCGATTTATCTACATACACGGCGCAGAGCCCCCGCTGCTCGGTGCGGCAGCCGCGGGCGCAGCGCGGAGGGCTCCGTACATACAAAGAGGAAAGCTCGCTGGCGCGGGCGGGCCGTCCCGGCTCTGCGTCCGCGCCCAGCCCGGGCAGGCCCCGACGCGGGCGCGGGCCGCACGGGGCGATGGGGCCGCGCCGTCCCCGCCCGCCCCAGCCTTCGACTGGAACTTCGAAAACGTGGTACTCCCGAAACGTAATTAAAAAAAGAAAAGGAAAGACTCAGAGGGCGGCAGCAGGGCCGGCGCGGCGGCCGCGCGACCCCGCCGCGGGCGGCGATCGTGAAAAAATAGACTGTCTCTGAACGGAAGAGGCGGGAGCGAAGTCGGTCTGCTGTCGAGCCGCTGACCGCAAGGCTTTTTGTTGTTTCTTCGTTAAAAAGAAAAAAAGTGAAAAAAAATACGCTATTCTTAAAAAAAAAAACAAAAAAAACCGGAAACAAACCCAAACTGGCGGGCGCGGGCGCGGGCGCGGCGGGGCGCGGCGGGGCGCGGCGGGGCGCGGCGGGGCGCGGGAATGTTCTAAGTGTCAGGCGCCGCGCGCGGGCGGCGGGCGGCGGCGCCCGGCCCCTTCCTGGAGATCGAGCCGGGCCGGCGTCCGGGCCGGGCTCCGGCGGGCGCGCGGGTCCATGGCTTTAGGTTGCATAGTGGTCGAAGCTCCCGAGGTACTCCAGGGCCGCCTGGTAGCAGAACTGGTACTCGTCCTGCGGAGAGCGCAGGCGTCGGTGGCGCGCGGGCTGAGGGCCTGGCGCGGCCTGAGCGCGTCCTCGCCTCGCCCGCAGCAGAGCAGCGGGGTCCGTGCAGGGGAGCACCGCAGGAGGGGCGCCGGCCCGCCCCCCTTCGCAGCCCCCCCCCCGCCCCCCCCCGCCCCCCCCCCCCCCGCCCGCGCACCTCCGTCTGCACCATGGCCGGCCTCTGCGTCCGCAGCATCTTCACCGTCTGGAATATGTCCACCACGCCCTCGTAGCGCATGCGCTCCAGCACGATGCTCAGCGTGATGAACACGCCGGTTCTGCCCACGCCGGCGCTGGGGGGCAGAGGGAGGGGCCTGTCAGGCGGAGGCGGCGGCCTGGCGTGGCTCGCCCAATACCCACCCCGACAGGGGAGGCCCCGCCCCCCGCGCGGCCCCGCCCCCCCGCGCGGCCCCGCCCCTCGCGCGGCCCCGCCCACCTGCAGTGCACGGAGATGGGCCCGTCCTGGCCGAACTGCTCCTTGGTCTTGTGCACCTGGCCGATGAAGTCGATGAAGCCTTCTCCCGACTTGGGCACGCCCTGCTCGGGCCAGTCGGTGAACTGGAACTGCCGCACTGTCCGCGACTGGCCGTCCTGCAGCGCGACAGTGCGATGCTGTGGCCGCGGCCGCCGGCTGGTGTCCCCCTTCTCCCGCCCCCCGCCAGCAGACGCTCCTGCCTCCCACCGAGGGGCCGGCCACCTCCTGTCCACCATGACCCCAGCTCTACCCTCTCCTCCCCCCGGCACCCTCACCTGCCCTTCCTCCCCACCTCTGCTGCCACCATCGGCCTTGCAGGCTGGTGCCCGACCACTCACCACCCAGCAGGGGGCCGCCCCCTCCACCTCCCAGCCCTCCCCACTCACCACCCCCTCCACCTCCCAGCCCTCCCCACTCACCACCCCGTCCACCTCCCAGCCCTCCCCACTCACCACCCCCTCCACCTCCCAGCCCTCCCCACTCACCACCCCCTCCTCCACCTCCCAGCCCTCCCCACTCACCACCCAGCAGGGGGCCGCCCCCTCCATCTCCCAGCCCTCCCCACTCACCACCCAGCAGGGGGCCGCCCCGTCCACCTCCCAGCCCTCCCCATTCACCACCCATCGGGGGGCCAGTTCCCCCCCTCCACCTCCCAGCCCTCCCCAAACACGGCTGTATCCGTGTGACCTCCCGCAGCGAAGCCACCCCTCCCTGGGGGCTTCCCATCCGCTGTGCCCTCACCGCCGGCCCTGGCTGCATGGTGCTGCTGGACCAGCCGCATGCTTTTCCATCTCCTGCCATCAGCCCGGCCCTCACCAGCCCCCCTCCATGGTCACCCCCGACCGGTCTCCTGACTCCATCCTCACCCCAGCGCACTGGTCCCCACCGCGCCCACAGTGGCAGTGGCCCTCAGATTCCAACTTGTGTCCCCAGAGGGTGGGTGGCTGGTCTCCATCTCTGCTACCCTCCCCCCCTCACTAAGTCTGGGCCTCTGGCCCCCCACTTCCACCGAGTCTCCATCCCAGTGCACCTCTTGCCACCTGCCTGGGCTTCCATCATTGGCCGTTACCCAGGACCCTCGAGAACCCCCCAATACTCTACAGTCTGCTTCCTGCAGAGAGAGGCCTGGCACACAGGGACACTATGGCCAGCCCAGGCCCCAGTGCCTCGGCCACAGATCAATCCCTGCCCCACAAGCTCTCTCCTTTCTGCCCCAGGGCCTTTGCTTCTACCTGCCAGGGGACAGACACCCTCCTCGTCGTAGGAGGCCAGCAGGGGCCTCACATTCCTGTGAGAGCCTGGCGGGGCTGAGACAGTGGAGGATGGGTAAAGGGGAGACCCCCTCTGAACGCGGGGCCACCGTCCAGAGGGGCTGTGGGGGGAGATGGAGGAGAGGGAGAAGGCAGGCTGGGGTTCTCTCTGCGGCTGCGAGCCCACAGGGCTGCCCCCATCTCCTCGCTGGCCCCCGCTCACCCGGGCGTCGGTGACCTTGAACTCGCGCAGGATGTACTGGGGCATGTTGTACTCGGCCATGGGGTCCACCACGAAGTACTGGTAGCGGGCGGAGCGCTCGGCCGGCCAGTACTGGTGGCACTTCTCCTGCGGGAGCGGGAGCGGGAGCCACCGTCAGCGCAAGGGCTGCTGGGTGTGGCCGCCCCCCCCACCCCCGCTCCCCGCCCGCCCCCCTCACCCGGCCCATCTCCCGCAGCTTGGTGAGCATGACAACGATGGTGGAGTTGTTCTCCCACAGCATGCGCCAGAAGTCCTCGGTGCTCTCGGCCAGGGGCCCCTGCGTCGCTATGTAAGCCTTCTGCTGCCTGTGGAGGGGGCGAGGGACGGGGGGCACTGAGGGGGCGCCCTCTCCCCCAGCACCCACGCCACACGGGGATCTGTCAGCCTCAGTAATGTCCAGCTCCTCAAGGAAGCCGCAGGAAGTCCTCCGCCCCAGGGCCTTTGCACCACCAACCTCCCTGAGCGCCCCCTTCAGGACAGGGGTCCGGCCCCCCCAGGCGGGGCTGGGTACCTATAGCCATCGATGAAGCTGGCGTTGATGTAGTCGGAGCCCTCCACGCCCCGGATGGGCTGCAGGCAGACGCGCGTGCTCTCATACGGCATGACATTCACCAGGCGGTTTTTGAACTTGTTACAAGGCAGATTGGCACTGATGAAGCGGGAGGTGTGGGCCTTGGAGTTGGCCAGCCGCTGTGGGGACGGGAGGAAGGGACCACCGTCAGGGGGCCCCCCCACCCCCGCTTTTGCCAGGCACGGGGAAGCCACCGCATCTGGTCACCCACTTCCAGCCCGTCCCCAGCTCCTCGGGCTCCTCACCACCCCACCGCAGCTGCCTCTATCCGGCCATCACCTTGAACTCCAGTTCCATGCCGGTGACGTGCTCTCCAGGCTCCACCTGAGCCAGCTTCTGGATGTAGGTGTAGAGGCTGCGTGCGGGGACCTCGGTGTTGCCGCAGCCCACGGCCTCCAGCAGCGCCTCGTGGATGAAGCTGTACTGGTCCTCCGTCTGCACCATGTAGTTGCGCTGTGAGCGCATGAGCGTCACGTGTCCGTACACGTCCACCGTCTTCTCGGGCCGTATCCGCTCCAGCATGGCGTCGATGACGATGAAGCAGCCCGTGCGGCCCACACCAGCACTGCAGGGAGAGCGGGGCGCTCAGGGACAGCCGGGGCGCTCGGGGGCCGCGGGGTGCTCAGGGGCTGCGGGGCTGGGGGGACGGGCGGGGCGGCCGCACCTGCAGTGGACCACGATGGGACCTGCGTCGGGTGGGTTGCAGGTCTTCACCCTCCGCAGGAAGGCCAGGAAGGGCGTGGGGTACTCGGGCACCCCGTGGTCAGGCCACGCGGTGAACTGGAAATGGCGGACCTCACGCTTTTCACTGGAGCCGTTCTGGGGACACAGCCACAGGGACACTGCACACCGAGGGTCCTCGTCCTGGCGCCCGAGTGCGCAGCTTCCACCGCCACGCGGCCCACCGCCCGCCCGCACCCGTCCTGCTGCGGGCTCC